CTTGTGAACTGCCTAATAATTAACTGCACTTATGAAAGGGCTACAGTGAACTGCCCAACAAAAGACGTCAGCCTAACACATTGGAAACGCATATCACCAGTGTGAAGTAACATTATTGGAGATGCATCCTTCAGGACTCTGCCTTTTAGATTTTTGAAGCTATTTGCCCACATGGTTTCAAAGAGGACAGCGAATCTGGGTTCAATTCCTAGAATTGGAACGTTAAAGGAAGACTACCGTGACCATAACAGACACCTGGAAAGTTTATACCTGCAACAAGATCTGTATAACTGTAAATATTGCACGTATTATTCAAATTTATCATTTGTTTTATTTTATTTTCCGCCTGTGATGCTGTTTTTTTTTTTATCATATCTGTCTTCCAGTGGAGAGCTATGAAATACCATACTACTCTCAAGCTTTTCAATTGATATTTCGAGCTACAAAGCAACTGCACTGTCTAGTGCTCTAGTCGTATGAACTAAAATGAGTAAACAGTGGCCAAATGTTTGATAACCTTTTCTAAGATATAAATTGTATATCAATTTTAAAATATGGATAAACATGGGTGGCAAGCAACGTGATATTTAAACCATTACTGAACTGATTTTTACCAAATCTGGTACGTACCATTAGGCATCCCAGGGGGGTGAAATAGGGAGAGGGGTCGTTCGGATTTCCTCCCCAGTATTATTCATAGGGGCTCCTTTACTTTCACTGTACAAGTAATGGGTACGTCAACTAGTATATAAATATTTCACGAAATTATTACGAGTAAATGCGTGGAAAAGGCGGGAGACAGGGGTCAGTTTGATGAGATACCAACAGTGTTTCATACTTCTCTATTTGTGTAGTTATAAAAATAGCTTAGAATAGTTCCTGGTTTATACAAAACTAACAAGGACCAAGTTTTTATACAAACATGAGATAAATAATAGAATCCTAGAAGCTGACAGTACTTCAGTGTTTTCGTAAAAATTTAGAACTGAAGTATGGTATGTGTTTTTTACTCCCTTAGTTAATGTGTATTTTTTTTGGTCATTATGTTTTTCATCGTTTTATCTTTGGACACAGTGAGGCGCTCATGTAAGTTCTCTTTCGCTAGAAGCCTGCTGTCGGTGTGTTGGTGACAAGGCTGTTATCCCTGTCCTCTCACGAGAAACGTTACTCGTTATTTATTAGAAAACCAAATGTTTTTCTTATCGACGAATGCAATGATAGCTAAGGGCAGTCACGCCTTTACAAACACATAGACCATTAAATCAATGTGTGATCGGGAGCATATTTGGCTTTGTATATGTTAGTTTCTTTTGGATTATTTTCGTGTTTAAAGCCAGGTTCTTTGTTCTTTTCATTTTCTTTGTTTAAGGTTGTGAGAGCTAATAGAGCGATGACGGCAGTTAAACGTCCGTATTAAGCAGACATGTTTTTCTTTTAAGAATGGATAATTACAGATTCCAGTTTTCGAGGTAATTAGTTTCCGGCATGTTAAACAAAGTAAGTGTTAAGTAAAACCCAGTCTTCTTTTGGGCTTTATTTTGATTAACAGTTACTTACTGGGGTTATTTACAGCTAACTGTATTCATTTGTTGCTTAACTTACAGTGAGGTTCACCCTTGAACTGGTGAGAGGTTTTTCGTTAAAGGTTTTGTTCACATCAGTTTTACGCACCCTTTTATTCTGTATTATAGTGCATTGTTTTGCACTGTGTTTAGTGTATTGTGTTTTGTCTTTCGCTGTCACAACACATTTTTCTTAAAGGTTTCACTTGTGTGTTGTCTGATTACGTATGTAATGAACAAAGTTGTAGATAGTATAGATCTCTAAAACTCTAAGCGGGTGTAACTGCTTACTCTGAGGTACATCCGCGAGCCGGAAAATGCCACTGAACACCTAAACGTAGCCCATTTATATCTTTCGCTTCTCAATCGGGAACATTCTCGCGGAAGTCACCAGATTTTTTGGACTTTTGATAAATTTTCAATGTTTTCAGATTGCTTTTCCGAAGGTGTAAGTGTGTCTATCATTTAGATATATATATAGTACATCATATGCATATTAGCATTATCTTATATTTAATATCTAAACTAAGTTAACTTGATTTTTTTACAGGATAATGACTTCAAGGAGTTGATTATTGAGGTATTACCGAACTATATTGTAGGATTTAATTAACAGAGTTATTTCCAGATGCAGTTAAGGTTTCAGTTAATTGAAATATCTCCTACATCTAGCATAAGATTTGGTAAGCCGAATTATCTCCTAGCTGCAACATAGCTGGAGGTTCAGTCAACTAAAATATATCTTAAATACATCGTAGAAATACATATATTTAACGATAAAAATGATTTCATACGACACTAGGGGAATAAGTTTGAAGCAATAAATATAAAACTTTCCAAGGAAATAGAACACGAATAGAATAAACTAAACTTCATCCTAAGTTGAAAGATGAATTAGAAAAGACTTTCGAAGTAGCCATCATTACTCTACCCGAAATCTTTTAAACCAAATTCTTTAAGCTTATTGTGAAAATTATTAATCTTTAAAATAAATTATTAAATGGCCCCTTAGTTCACAGATTATTGTATTGACAATTATGCTTTTTTTTTTATGCGGTATTTCCGGCGTTCGGCAACTGGACAAGTGGTTTTCCGGTGTAAGTGACATGAATTTAATATAGCGATTGTTCATTTCATGCTCCTAATGGCGCAGTGAATGATATACATATGTACATTTTACCGTGTTCTGGATATGTGTTATTCAATAACAAATTGTTGTTTACTGCTAAACGTTCTTGATAACGTGAAGATTATTAAAAGGAGTGTGTATGTGTGTACGAGATAAGAAGGTTTGTTTGGTTTGGTTGTTTGTAGTTAAGCACAAAGCTATACAAAGGGCTGTCTGTGCTCTGCCCACCACGGGTATCGAAACCCGGTTTCGAGCGTTGTAAGTCCGCAGACATATCGTTGTGCCACCGGAAGGGGGCAGATAAGAAGGAACTTCGGAATAATACAACACAAAATTGTATATATATATGTATTACAAATAACTGCTTAATACTAAAAAGGTAACATTTCAGTGTCAAAACGTGAATATTTGGAACATTAACATTTAAACATGTGGTTTTAGATTTTAAGTATACACAAGCATTGTTCTTCTCGTTTTTTGTTTTATTTTTTGCTTTGATTTGAATGAGAAAGCAGTTCCATCAAAAGGTTTTATAAGTACACAAAGAGTGAAACAAATAAATATTAGTCGTTAAACGTTAAAACTTATGTACAATATGAGAGATCTTAATGATTTTGTTTTCAAGAACATTTGTTCAGGAAAAATGGATTGGCTTTGTGATAATATATATCTATTAACCGATATTATGATGACTTAATGTGAATTACCATATACGTGAGACACGGGCATTTTCGTTTTCATCTTTATCGACGGCCATTTTCCAGAATGTTTCGTTACCCATTACTTCGCAAGAGCCACACTTAACAAATTAAGCATATGTAGAAGCAATAAAGGATTAGTAAAGAAGACATTAAAATTCTCGAAATCTTTGACATTACACTGTACACCAAGCATCTCCCCCCACTTCTGTGGTTGACTTTTGAAAAAAAGATGAAACAAGAAAATCCGTCTGTGTATGTTTACGTTCTTCTATGTGTCGTTTAACCAATATCCGCCAACCAAAAACAACCGATTAGTATCCGTTAACTTCCCCGTCCGGTGGCTCAACACAGATGGTAGTGGTAGGTGGAACTATACCAAGTTAATCAATACTTTTTTTTCGATACCATCTAAAAAAATCTTTTATTGATTAGCAAAATAAAAAAGAACCAAAGAAAAAATGGATTAGCCTATTTGTTGGTAAATTGTAGGTTCATATCATGAGTAATGTTGATGAATATTAATAATAATTGCTACGAATTATTTTGTTGGTAAGCACAAAGATACACAATGGGCTATCTGTGTTATGCCCACAGTGGTATTGAAACCCCAATGTTAGCGTTTTAAGTCCTCAGAATTACCGACGATCCACTGAGAGGACAGAAAATAATATATTTTCAGGGGTTTAATTTTAAATGAATAAGTCCCCAGGTGGAACAGCGGTAAGTTTAAGGAGTTACAGTACTAAGATACGAGGATCGATACCCCACGGAGGACACAGCAGATAGCCCAGTGTGGCTTCACTTTAAAACATATAAACTTAAATGAAAAGTTTGTGGCAAAACAAAATTCCTTTAATGATCTGTGTTTTGTAGTTAAAGTTACACTCATACTAAAATCGCTTATATAACCCAAAAGAAGAATATTATAATAAACACACAAACAAATCTATAATAAAATATGTATACGCTGTATCGCTGCTCTATAAAAAAAAATCCTTAAAGGAGCAAAGTTGTAAAAATGTATTATGACATTCCTTGTGGCGTTCCCGTGGACCAGAGTTGCTTTTTCATTCTGTGAGACACATGGTTGTATGTGTGGTGTTTGAAATTACAAGCAGTTCCCTTACTTCGCCCCACACGAACTTCGCGTAGCATGCCTTACGTGACAGCAAACAGAACGCTAATAATAACCACTCTTTCGTTTGAAGCTAAAATCTTGAATTTTGTTTATTCGACAGTCAGAATCAAAATATAGCATGGTATGACTGTTGACAGCAAAACGTGTGCTTCTAGGGTCACAAGACCAAAAAAATCTTAAATGTTGATGACCTGTCTGTTTACACGTGCAATTTAACCTTTGGCTTTGTAAACTGGGGTCATTATCAGACATAATAAAAAACAGCCTTGCTGCATAATTATATACATCTTTCCGGGCCTTATGGAAGACGATGAGTCATGATAAATAAACTCTCAGTCAAACTGGCTGTTATAGCAGTGCTGGCCGCTTTGGTCCCTAGTAAACGGCGAAAGTTGGACGCGTCAATTTTACTGGGAGGGGTGTATAATCAGCTGTTGTAGTGTTCGTTAGCGGGCAGAGTTCCAGATGTTCAGCACCAGAGAGTAGCGTGACTAGTGTTTGACCAAACGAAAAACACACATTTACATTGTTCTCTGTTTAAAAAGTCTATCTTTTTTTTGTTTCAAACAAGATAGTTGGGTATTTGGAGGAGAGTTAAAGACAGTAAGGTAAGCAATTTTATATTCTATGTTTACAACGAACTTCGTGTCTTTGTTACTTTCCTTTAACTAATACAATAGGTCAGACTATTATTGTCTAACTGTACTCGATAGCTACTACCGAGTACTCGGTAGCTGTAAATAATTATATATTAGATGTGTCCTATGGTAACGTTGTGGGAGATCGAATTTGAATGAAACCTTCGATTTTACCGCATTCTACAAATCAAATCAAATACTACCAAACGAAATAAATACACGAGTGATTGTTTTTAGTGATTTTAGAAACGGATTAATTCACTACAAATATATGTTGATAAAAAAAAGACGAGCTCACGGCCTGCACCGAAAAAGAAAAATATCGCGCATTAAGCAAAAGAAAAAACACACACATATTGAAGTAGTGACTATTAAAACGTTAGTCATATCCTATCATGTCGTGATATGTGTGTGAATCAAGAACTGATACTCTTTGTTTACTGGTTTAGCTTTGTGGTGTTCTGTAATGTCTTTGCAAAAAGAATTACGGAAAAAATTAAATTTATCGATGAAAACCTAAAAAGCTCGTAAATGCTATTACAAGCATAAATTCTACAAATCCAAATTTTTATTTCAAACTTCATGTAAAACATCATATATATATATTATACATATAAATACAATATAATACGAAAGACACAAACTAAGTAAATTTATCCAATAAAAAGAACAACGAAGTAACCAGTGCAGTAGCTAAGAAAATAAAATCGGGTAAAGGAGTGGGGGTCTGGTACCTTTGCAATTCGAAAATATGTCAAAAGAAAGCTATAAAAATACTTTTCATTAGAATTTTGCTGAGGGGCCGGCTAGTCCCCCCCCCCACCTACCAAAAGAGGTTAACTTCCTCGGGATTTGAATAAACTATTTCAGTTGCATATCTTTTAGATATTTTTCACAAACTCACTGTTCATCTGTGCTTTATGTAAAAATTCTTAAATTACTAATATTAAATGAAGTATACAAATTTTATGACATACTCATATGAATTGCTTTTTATTGTGTATAAAAATGTATCGCTTGAGAAACAAAAGTCCCATGTTAATACACCTTGGCCACCTGCATCTTACGAATACTACACGTCTCTTACATATCAACGTATATTTTACCTAAAATATAGACTAAATAAAGCTACGAGTACTTCTAATATGTACGTAATCAATACATTTTAGCGAGCAGTGACTTTTAACCTACATACTAAAACACAGTATGATGAGTGTGGAAGCTTAGACACATTGACCTGCACGGGTATTTTCATTCCACTATATGTCGACAGTAAAAGAAGAAAAATGAACTCGCGATCTACACCGAAAAAACAAAATATTGTAAATATGAAACATCGCATGTTCTTATATATTATGAATATTTGTGTAGAGGCAAACTAGTTAAAAGAAATATTGTTACGTCTCCGTTTGTTAATTGATTTTTCCGTAACTTCGTTCCGACGAAATTTTAACGACACAAGTCT